CCGGGTATGTGCACCGTGCAGCGTGATAAGTAGATTGTTTTGGAGATATTAAGCTGTATTGGACAATGGCTTAGTAAATGGATGTGGTGCTGCAACATTGTCAGCTGTTTGAAACAGCGCGCTGTCAGCTAACGGACAATTCCTGAGAACGAAACTTAAAGGGACAGTGAACATTAATCATGTCTGTGACATCTGACGTCACGTCACAAGATGGCGCTGTTGGACTGCAATCTGTGAGAGAAAAAAGGATTATCACTCACACTGCCAAAGGATTGGAATTGTTTATTGCAAACTGCCAAAAAGCAAGAAACTTCAGTTACAAACAAGTAAAGAAGTTAATGGAAGTACTGAAAGAGCTTATGAGCTCAGAAGACAATGCAAAGGAAATACAGTTGAAACTGGTTGAATTTAAGAAGTTGTGTGATGAACTAAAAGAAAATCACAAATCATTAACTGACCTTCAACTGCCTGAAGAAGAAATGGGAAAGCAAAGGCAGTGGCTGCAAGAAAAGATGCATATATTTGATGGATTTATACAAGATGCAAATGTGTGGTTATCTGAGAGTGGACAGGCAATTAGACACTCTATTGTGGGAAGTGCAATAGAACAAAGTGTCAGCTCAGATGACATCGGACCTGATGACAGCATTTCAAATGCATCACACCCTCAGTCAAAATACAAACCTGGTTCATCACACGCATCATCTACCTCTTCTGCTCGAATTAAAGCCCAGGCGGAAAGGGCGGCTTTAATCGAAAGGGCGGCAGCACTGAACAGTCAACATGAGCTTGATGTAGAAGGGGAACAATTAAAACACCAGAAACAACAGTTGGAACACCAGAAACAACAGTTGGAACAACAGGAAGAACAGGTGAAACGGAAAAAGGAACAACTGGATATACAAACTAAGCTGGCAGAAGCCAATGCCAGGCTAAACGTGCTCAGCATGGGATCAAGACACACCTCTAGAGCATCAGATGGGATGAGCTCTTACTACAGAAGCCCTACAGCAAGATTTAACGTACAGGCCACTGAATTCTTGCCTCATCAAGCCCAAACCTCTATTCCCAGACAAAGTATACAGACACATGTGCAGGGACATGTTGACATCACACCACCTGTAATCAACAATGGTAATCAAGGTGACATCTATAACCTAATCCAGAGGCAAAATGACAACACTGCTATGCTGGCTCAACAACATCTCACTTCTACTTTACCTCCAAGAGACATTCCTATTTATGACGGTGACCCATTGCAGTTTGAAGCTTTCATCCGTGCATTTGAAAGAGGAGTAGAGCGGAAAACTAATGATGAAAGTGACTGCCTGCATTACCTAGAGCAATACACTAGAGGACAACCACAGGACCTAGTGCGCAGCTGCCAACATCTGCCTCCAGCTCAAGGTTATCAAAGGGCAAAACAGCTGCTTAAAGAGCACTTTGGTAATGAACATAAGATCGCCACTGCATACATGAACAAAGCATTTACCTGGACAATGATCAAAGCCGAAGATGTGAAAGCACTGCAAGCCTTCTCTTTGTTCCTAAGAGGTTGTTGCAATGCAATGGAACATCTCACCTATATGGATGAAATGAATGTTGTTTCAAACATGAAACACATACTTCAGAAACTACCCTACAAATTCAGAGACAAGTGGAGGAATAGAGCATGTCAGCTACAGGAAGAGTGTGGGCATCGAGCTACATTTCCTGACCTTGTTAGCTTCATAGAGAGGCAAGTGAAGATACTGTCAGATCCTCTGTTTGGAAGCATCCAGGATGATAAACCAACTGCAGCTATCAAAACTGTTATCTCTACCTTTTCAAAGGGAAAACCAAGCCTAAGGGGAAGTAGTTTTGCAACAATTATTACCTGCCCAATAACACCAGTGCTAGAACATGTAACAACGAATGGAATGAAAATACCTCCATCAAGCCACAACTCCCTACATGTGTGTTTGTTCTGCAGAATAAGTGGTCACTCATTGGAGCAGTGTCCACACATCCTGAAAAAAACACACAGAGAAAGAATGGACTTCTTGAAAGGAAAAGGGGTGTGTTTTGGATGCCTAAAAATAGGACACATGAGCAAACACTGCCACAGTCGTTTGACATGTTATGTGTGCAATCAAAGTCATCCTGAAATACTCCACATTGAACAAAAAGGCAAAAGAGAGGAAGCAGAACACACAAAACAGAATGGGAAGCCAATGGAAAGTAATAGTGTCATCTCACCTCATACATGTGGTCACATTGGGGCCGGTGATGAAAACTCCATCTTCTCCATTGTACCAGTACAAGTAAAGAGCCACAAAGGGGACAAAGTGTTACAAACTTATGCATTTCTGGACCATGGAAGTTCATCCACCTTTTGCTCAGAAAGTTTAATGAGGAGGCTAAACCTTACAGGACAAAGGACTAACATTCTCCTAAAGACAATGAATCAGAGAAAGATTGTGTCTAGTCATCATATCTCAGGTTTGGAAATATCGAGTCTGGACAAAAACAATTTCCTTCAACTATCCGATGTGTTTACACATAAAACCATGCCTGTTTCCAAGCACAATATTCCTCTACAAGAAGATCTGGAAAAATGGCCTTACTTAAAGGACATCAAAATTAATGAAATTGCTTCTGGCATTGACCTACTCATTGGGACAAATTCTCCTAAGGTATTGGAACCTTGGGAGCTGATCAATAGCCAAGGAGAAGGACCGTACGCTGTAAAGACCCTACTGGGGTGGGTCTTCTATGGTCCCCTAAAAGGAAGCAACGACAGCAGAGATGCTAATGGCCACCCTGTTGCTACTGTCAATCGGATATCCATGGTACACCTAGAGGAACTATTGGTCAAACAATACAATCATGACTTCAATGAAAATACAAGTAAGGAAACAGAGGAAATGTCCAGAGAAGACAAACAATTCCTGAACATTATGAATCACTCTGCAAAAACCACAGATGGACACTACTGCCTAGACTTACCATTTAGACAAGAAAATCCTAGCATGCCAAATAACCGATGCGTCGCTGAGCAGCGTATCCAAGGCCTGAAACGCAAGTTTGGAAAAAATGAGAAATTTCACGATGAATACACTTCCTTTCTGACGGAAATGATCAACAACGATTATGCTGAAATGGTACGAGTAAACCAGCTAAAGCCAAGTGATAACAAGCGTTGGTATATACCTCACCATGGGGTATATCACTCGAAGAAAGGAACATTAAGGGTGGTCTTTGACTGTGGTGCTGTCTTCAAAGGAACATCACTTAACTGCCAACTGCTTCAGGGTCCACATCTAACAAACTCACTCATTGGAGTCCTTATCAGATTTAGACAAGAACCAGTTGCCTTAATGGCTGACATCAAAGCAATGTTTCATCAGGTTAAGGTGTCAAAGGGGCATATTGACTATCTGCGATTCCTGTGGTGGCCCAACGGTGATGCGCAACGGGATCTTGCTGAATACCGGATGAAGGTACATCTTTTTGGAGCAGTATCATCACCCAGTTGTGCAAACTTCACATTGAGAAAGACTGCTGAGGACAACAAAGATAACTTTACAGCAGATGTGGTAGACACAGTTAAAAATAACTTCTACGTGGACGATTGCCTAAAATCCATGCCCTCTGAGTCAGAAGCAGTAAAAATGGTAGGAGACCTGATTGCTCTCTGTCGAAAGGGAGGATTTATGCTGTCAAAGTGGATCAGCAACAGCCGTGCAGTATTAGCATCCATTCCACAACAAAGCAGAACCAAAGAGACCAAGGACTTGGACTTGGATAGGGACAAGCTACCAATGGAAAGAGCACTGGGATTGCACTGGTGTGTTGAAACGGATGTGTTCAAGTTCAAAATTGCTGCACAAGAACGACCATATACAAGACGTGGCATCTTGTCTGTTGTCGGCTCTATATACGACCCCTTGGGATTTCTGGCACCATTCACCCTACCAGCCAAACTGATCATGCAGGAGCTTTGTAGGAAGAAACTTGGATGGGATGAAAACATACCACAAGCTTTAGTTCAGCAATGGTCAGGATGGCTAGCAGACATCAATAAGATGGCAGAGTTTCAAGTGGACCGGTGCATGAAGCCAACAAGCTTTGGTCATGTCAGACATGCACAACTGCACCACTTTTCTGATGCTAGTGAAAGCGGCTACGGCACTGTTTCATATCTAAGACTGGAGAATGATAACAAAGAAGTGCATGTTTCATTCATAACAGGAAAATCCAGAGTGTCACCATTGAAACAAGTTACAATTCCCAGAATGGAACTTACAGCAGCAGTCCTGGCTGTCAAAATCGACACAATGCTGAAGAACGAATTACAGCTGCAACTGGACCAATCCGTCTTCTGGACTGATAGCACTACCGTGCTAAAATACATAAAAAACGAAAACAAACGCTTTCAAATATTTGTAGCAAACAGGATGTCTCTTATAAGGGATGCCACGGATGTATCACAATGGAGGTATATTGGAACAAAGGAAAATCCTGCAGATGAAGCCTCTAGAGGACAATTGGTGAGACCAATAACAAAGATATGTCTGCTCCAGGAAGCTGAGACATAAAGAACAGCAAAGACCGATGACCCTTAAAATAAGGGAGAAGAAGAGAAGAAAAGAAACTACAAATTCTTTAAGAATTACATGCTAACACATACACACCTTTTGTATAGCTCCTTTATTATTTATTGGTAATTGTCTTTTTTCCCATACTAAAGCCAATTAGGGGCCGGTGTGTAGGAGCCATTTTGTGGGTGATGTTGGTGTGTCAGTTTATTTAACCCTCTATGGCATACTGTTGCCCTCAGGCAACAAACCACTTTTTTCGACCTCACACTGGCCCACTAAATATTTTAATTTTTTTTGAATATACACAATGTCACCTGACATGCTGGTGTCCAATAAAATGAGGGAATTATATGGGTGTGGCCTTTTGTCTGGGGGCGGAGCAGTCCTTTCTGCAAGCAAAGCTGCAGGGCACTCAGGGCCACCACTTGGTAAGATACATTTCACTTTTTAACATATTAGAATTGTACACCAATTAAAATAAAAAATACATGCATGTGCATGAATATGTAAAGAAGTATATTTGATTGTTTAAAGACTTATTATGTATTTATTAATTAGCTAAAACTATGTTTTTTTGTTCGTTGCCTCAGGGCAACACTGTGCCACTAAGACCACTTTTTTCCAGGCAATATCATGCAAGTGTAAAAATGTGCTTAGCTGTAAAATGATAAACCTAGTCAATGTTTTTACTTTACTGATCTACTGATATTTACAGGAAATGGACAGCAAAACCTTTTATGGGAAGAAGGGAAACGATCAGGCTGTTAGGGCTATTCCATCTGACAGTGAGGACAGTGAGCTTGATGGGAGTGAGAGTGAGGACAGTGAAGGTCAAGATAGTCAGGAAGAGTGGATCCCTGAATCAGGTTTGAAAAAATAGTTATGTTAGGTGTCAGTCTGTATCATTCAGCAGAGTACTAGTGTCTGTGTGTGTGTGTGTGTGTGTGTGTGTGTGTGTGTGTGTGTGTGTGTGTGTGTGTGTGTTTATTTGGCAAGCATATTGGATGAAAAAAGGGTAAATAACAAATTCAAATGTGTGTTTCTATTTGTGCTTCCTGTGTGCTATTAGGAGAAGGCATGTCTATTGAAAATGACACTGAGTCTGTCAATGAAGAGGAAGATGAAGATGAAGATGTAGCCGAAGTTGCTAATCCAGGCCCACCTCGGTGGAAAACAGTCCACAATCCATCCTGCAATCCTTACCCAGAATGGCAGGGTGTATCGAGAAGTGATGAAATCCTCTCCCCCCTCCAGTATTTCCAGCAGTTTTTTTCTGAAGACATTCTAGAAAGCATTGTTCAGCAGTCCAATTTATATGCAATGCAAAATAACCCAAACAAGCCCCTAAACCTCACAACAAAAGAGTTAGAGCAGTTCCTGGGAACTGTTGTGTACATGTCACTGTTTGGTTTACCAAGGACCCGCATGTTTTGGAACAAAGCCTGCAGAGTGTCCCAAGTAGCTGACACCATGACCCTGAATAGATGGGAGGCCATTAAAAAATACCTTCACTTCAGCAACAATGAAGACAGGCAGGAGGAAGGTAATGATCCATTACACAAGATCCGACCGCTTGTCACTCACCTAATCTCCAAACTGAAGTCGATCCCAATGCGTGAGAAGCTGGCAGTTGATGAACAGATGGTCCCATTCAAGGGAAGAAGTAGACTGAAGCAATACCTGCCATCAAAGCCCAAAAAATGGGGCTACAAAATACTCGTCTTGGCTGGCTCTGATGGTGTCCCGCACAACTTCGAAATTTACACAGGGAGAGCGGTACACCCCCCTGAGCTAGCAGATATTGGAGCAAGTGGCAATGTTGTCCCCAGCCTGGCTCAGCCTATACCCAAGCAAGAGAACTAGAAACTCTTCTTCGACAACTGGTTCACAAGTGTCCCCCTTGTGCTCACACTGGCTCAGCAGGGGATTCACACTATTGGTACTGTTCGTTGCAACAGACTACCCGGCGTCAACTTAAAGTGCGATGCTGAGCTAAAGAAAAAAGGACGTGGATCGTTTGAAGAGAAGATGGCCATTGTTGGAGAAACCACATTGCATGTTGTGAAGTGGTATGATAACCGTACAGTTAGCCTTCTGAGTGATTACGCTGGAGCGTACCCTGTCAATGAAGTTGAAAGATGGGATCGCAAGCAAAAGCTCATCATGAATGTCCCCCGCCCTGCTGTTGTAAAGGAATACAACAAGAATATGGGTGGGGTCGATCTGCTTGACTCACTGATTGCACTGTACCGGATCAAAATCAGATCAAAGAAGTGGTATCACCGGCTGGTGTTTCACTTCATGGACATGATTATCGTGACGGCCTGGCTGCTCTACAGAAGAGATTGTGAAGGCACAGGCATGACCAGGAAGGAAGAAATGAGGCTGTATACCTTCAAATCATACATTGCTGAAGGTCTGCAAAAGAGTGGAAAGAGTCTGGAATGCAAGAGAGGTCGTCCCAGTCTCACAATTGCTGGTGAGTATGAGGAGAAGAGAAGAAAAGGACCAGCAACTCCGATTCCGATCCCTGCTGTTCGCCTGGATGCCACAGCGCACTGGATGGTAATGGATGAAAAGAAGGGGAGATGCAAGGTACCAGGGTGCACAGGCACACCCAAAGCCAAGTGCCGGAAATGTGATGTGCACCTCTGCTTCACATCCACAAGCAACTGCTTCCTGAGGTTTCACACAGAGTGAGAATAATAGCCACACACAGATACTGTAACACACACACACACACACACACACACACACACACACACACACACACACACACACACACACACACACACACACACATACTGTAACACACACACACACACACACACACATACAGACTGTAACACACACATACTGTAACACACACATACTGTAACACGCACGCACACACACACACACACACACACACACACACACACACACACTGGTTAATATGAAATGTATGCATGAAATGTTATTTGTTATGTTTTTAATGTGTTCCTGTTATATGTTGTAGCCAGTTGTGGTTATTTAAAACAAATAAAACCTTATGAATTCATACAGAGTTGTTTTTTCTATTTCTTCTGAATTGTAGAAATCCTTGGTGTTTCAATACCCTTGTTGCGCAGTGTTGCCCTGAGGCAACAAACCCACCCCTGGTTGGGGGGTTCGGGGGGTCACATTTTATAATTGATATAATATCAGGGACCCCATAGCTCCTAAAATACATGGTGAAACATTTTTTTCCTCCCAAAATAAAAAGTCATGCCATAGAGGGTTAAGTTATATGTATAGTGCAATATTATTTATGAACACTGGGTGGCGGGGTTTAGCGGCACCGGGTGTATATAAGGAGGTCATAGGTGACAGGAGATGGGAGGACACAGTAGGAGAAGAGCATACCGATTCCACCAGCCCGGCAGATGCTCATAGAATCACTAGAACGCTAAATTAACCCTGGTATGTAAAGACGAATAAACATCATCATAAACCACAACTAAGGACCGGAAAATCATCTGTTTGTGTCTGCGTCTGGATCACTTTTCAACCCTTCTGTGAAAGTAACGGCAAAAATATATAGGACATAGGAAAAGGAAATTGCCATTACAGTGACAGTTATACGTTAGAACTATTAACGAAGCACTTTTATACTAATAAAGGACTGGCTTACCTAAAGCCAGTTGAGTAGCACTTGAAATGTTTAGCTCTATGAAACCTGATGTACTTATATGATTCTGTTTTCTTCAAGGTTGTGTCTTCCTGGTCGAATGTACTTATTGTAAGTCGCTTTGGATAAAAGCGTCAGCTAAATGCAATGTAATGTAATGTAATGTTATACAATGTTTTACTCTCTGGTATTAATTATTAATTTACCGGTTAGCATGTTTTCCTTTCTGTTAAACCTCCCTGCACATCTCCAGAGAAATGTCCTCATGATGGCAGCGGGTAAATAACGTCTAGGGAGAGATTCCCAGTTAAGAACCCTAAGACCTTTTTTCCTCTCTCAGCTGCTGCTTTTATATCATACCAACAGAAGCAGAAGTGAATGCACACCAACAGACCCATGTATGTGGAGAAGAGTCATTGCTTCCAGGTGTGAGTCTGGACATGTCCCGACTTGCCTCAAAGACTAAACTAAAGCTTACAGTAATATCCCATTGAGTCAGGGGCCTCCTGCTGTGAGAGTAAGGGTGTCTTCCCTCTGCTGAATAGTGACACCTTTAGTGATAAGCTATATCAGACCTTAGACTCTTTCATGTCAGTTTAACAAACCGTGTACATTTAGTATATAAGTATTGAGCTATGTGACATATCATGCATTTTACATTGTGGATTCTACAAAATTAAATTTGATTATATGAACTTTTGTTTTAATTATATAACCCAATATGGAAACCTCCCCAGACTCTGGTTGTAAATGTTGCCGGTTCTGGTCCTCCACAGTCCTCTCTTTACTTGGACCAAACAGTTTTTATATACGACTTACCCAAATAGTTTAAACTTAAAGGGATAGTGGAAATGGAACCTCAAATAGTTTCGTTTTAACTTATATACAAGCATAATTACGTACCAAAACAATCACACCTGATTAAAAAAATATAATAAATGCCTTATGCATGTTAGAAGCACTTTATTGCAGCTTCCCCGAAGTTTTTTAGAAACGAAATGTTCGACTCAGCCAAACCGGAAGTGACGAAAACTTAGGAAGACGATACGATAACAAACCATGGCGTCTATGCAGAATGAACGTGGAAGGGCAAATATACCAGACAAAGAAGAAGGATTGTACGAGGTATCCAGTGATGATAGCGAGTCAGAAACATCCTCTCGGCTTTCCTACGAAAATGTCGTTTTAGGAACTGAATCTGAATCCGGTTCAGTAAGCGACGATGGTGACAATATTGAGCCAGACGATGGACCATTACGTCCTTATTTGTTCGAGCCCGAGCCCGAGGTGATGGTTCACGGCATGGGCAATGGCGAGGATGACCAGGACCAGGCGCCAGATGATGCACCCCTACGCACAAATAATCTTGACTGGTAGGTCCCTAAGCATAGCTCACGCATCTTAAGATCACCTGTAGCCTTTACAAATATTAATCATTGTTAACCAGTTAATCCCGAAGGTCCCCCCAGTGGACCCCTCCCACAGTTTTTTTTCTCTCACATGTCTCAGGGCTTCTTAACATTTATGAAACTATTCATGTTTCATACCCTTTTAAAGGTAAGAAACTCCGCTAACTGACAATAAGAACAATTGTTAGCTAGAAAAAACACAAGAGTAATACCAAGTCTTTGAATTAGCATTGAGCGAAACAATGCTAACTAATGCTAACGCTTTTTTACACACAACACACGGTAGAAATGCCCTTATTACTATCTTAACTGCACAAACAAGATATACGATTTAAAGCTGAGACTCCACAGATGTAATGTCATCACTGTAAGACCTCGAATTCCTGGAGCTATCAGCCAGAAAAGAGAAAGTAAACAACATCCGGTTCCAAAAATATTACAATAATTACGTCTTACCTTTCTTGATTTGTGATCAAAAGTTGTGTTCAACGGAATAAAAACGCATCTCAAGGTTAATCCAATGTTGTTGTGTCACGTAGAATTTTTTACTGATAATCAATCATCATATTTATGGCAATATACTCGGCTATTCACATGCAAATGCTATTGAATGTCCGCCATTGTTTGTGCCCGTCTTCCTATGCTCTCGTCATCACCCGAAGATTCCCGACGATTCCCGAAGTATTTCGTTTCATTGAGAGGGCGCAGTAAAATTGAAAATAAAATGAAACTAGGCGCATGAAATTAAAAAAAATGGTTTATTATGCTTATTTTTAATAAAAATACATAAGTTAAACCCAAAATTCGCGGATTTCCACTATCCCTTTAAGAATCCTCCTTGTCTTCAGTCTCAGGTTCAGAAGAGTCTCCAGGGTTGTCTTCAGTCTCTGGTTGTAAATGTCTCTCTGGATCTGAGTTCCTGGCTGGTTCTGGTCCTCCACAGTCCTCTCCATCAGCTTCTTTTTCCATGTGTTCAGCTGAGCTGCAGGCTGGAGGCTCTGCCTCTCTGTTCTCCTCAGTTTGAGTTTGATGAAGCTGTGGGGACTGACGACCAAAACACCTATGTCTTTCGACATGACTACTCAGGGTGAATCTTTTATCACAAACACTGCAGCTGAATGGTTTCTCTCCTGTGTGGATTCTCATGTGTTTCTTTAAATGTCCTCTCTGTGCAAAAGATTTATTACAGATTGAGCAGCTGAATGGTTTTTCTCCGGTGTGGATTCTCATGTGATCATGTAAATGTCCTCTCCGTTTACAAGATCGATTACAGACTGAGCAGCTGAATGATTTCTCTCCTGCACTACGTCTTGAATCACTGACAGGGTCTTGTTTATTTTTCTGAGAGTTTGAACCTGGTTCTCTGGTCTCCTTCCAATCAGCCCTGTCTTCGGTGTCAGGTTCAGAAGAGTCTCCAGGATTGTCCTTAGTCTCTGGTTGTAAATGTCTCTCTGGATCTGAGTTCCTGGCTGGTTCTGGTCCTCCACAGTCCTCTCCATCAGCTTCTGTTTCCATGTGTTCAGCTGAGCTGCTGGCTGGAGGCTCTGCCTCTCTGTTCTCCTCAGTTTGATGAAGCTGTGAGGACTTACGACCAAGACACTTATGTCTTTTGACATGATGACTCCAGGTGAATCTTTTGTCACAAACACTGCAGCTGAATGGTTTCTCTCCTGTGTGTATTCTCATGTGACCCTTTAAACTTTCTCTCACTGCAAAAGATTTCTTACAAATTGAGCAGATGAAGAGATTCTCTCCTGTGTGTTTTCTCAAGTGGTCCTTTAAAGTTCCACTGTGTTTAAAAGATTTCTTACAGACTGAGCAGCTGAATGGTTTCTCTTCTGTGTGGCTTTTCATGTGCTGATTTAAACGTCCTCTCCTTGCAAACTTTTTATCACACACTGAGCAGCTGAATGGTTTCTCTCCTGCACTACGTCTTGAATCACTGACAGAGTTTTGTTTATTTCTCTGAGAGTTTAAACCTGGTTCTCTGGTCTTCTTCCAATCAGCACTGTCTTCAGTGTCAGGTTCAGAAGGGTCTCCAGGGTTGTCCTCAGTCTCTGGTTGTAAATGTCTCTCTGGATCTGAGTTCCTGGCTGGTCCTGGTCCTCCACAGTCCTCTCCATCAGCTTCTGTTTCCAGGTGTTCAGTTTGTCTTTGATGAAGCTGAGAGGACTGAGGTTTCTCTTCATCATCTTCACTCTTCACAGGGACAGGAGTGAATGTGGACTTGGTGATATCAGCCTCCTCCAGCCCTTGAAGCTGCTCTCCCTCCTGACTGCTCCACAGTTCCTCCTGTTCCTCTTTAATGTGTGGGGGGGGCTCTGGGTCCTCCTGGTCCAGACTGGAGCTCCACTCCTGCTGCTCAGGGGGAACCTCTTCTTTAACCACCACCAGCTGCTGGACGTCTGCAGGAAACAGGAAAGACATATTCATCAGAATCAGAATCGGTTATATTTACCAAGTAGGTTTACACATACAAGGAATTTGCTTTAGTATATGTGGTGCATACAAATAAACAGAAAGAAGTATCTTGGCAAAACAAAATAAAATAGGATTGTTATGACAGCTATTTAAAAAAACTGGGGAGTCACACAGAGTGATGGGGGCAGGTGGGGCTGCGTTCTTCCTGAAGTCCACAACCATCTCACTGTCTTAAGAGCGTTGAGCTCCAGGTTTCAAGATTCAATATTCAAGGCTTTATCATCATGTGCTCAGCAGCTACAGTGTTGATATGGTAATGAAAGTCACTTGCTCCTCCAACAGAGCAACATGAATAATATATAGGACATAAACAAATAAAACAGATGAAATAGTGCAAAAGAATGTTTTGAGATGTGCAAGTAAATACAAATGAAATAGAAAATAGTGCAAGAGAGTGTATATACAAGTTAATGGAATATGATGTATAGATAAATAATTTGCAAGATGCAAACCAAGCGGCAAACTCAGGGGCAGAGCCGTGAAGCCCAATGGGAAGTGCCACAAACTGCAGTCCATCTATTGGCCAATAGGGGATGGATGCAAAAAAGAGCAATTTCCATAAACCCCCATTTCAAAATGCCCAATTTTACAGCAGAAATCAACATGTTGCTAGCCTGGAAACTATTCTGGATCTAGTTAGATTCCACCTTCATGACAATAGTTCGGGGAGTGAGTTTCAAGTCAAAAGTTTGGAAACACCTTTTTTGGTTTTTGTTTATTTAAAATGTGTTCTACTTTGTAGATTAATACTGAAGACATCATAACTATGAAAGAACACATGGAATTATCTAGTAAACCAAAAAGTGTTAAAAAAAATCAAGAATATGATTTTTATTTCAGATTCTTCAAAGTAGCCTCCTTGCCTTGATGACAGCTTTGCTCACTCTGGGCTTCTCTCAGTCACCTTCATGAGGTCGTCATCCGGAATGGTTTTCAATTAACACGTTGGCCTTGTCAAGAGTCAATTTGTGGAATTACTTGCCTTCTTAATGTGTTTGAGACCATCAGTTGTGATGTGCAGAGGTAGGGTTAGTGCACAGTGGAAAGCCCTATTTGACTATTGTTGTAATCCATATTATGGCAAGAACCACTCAACTCAGTGAAGAGAAACGACCGTCCATCATCACTTTAAGAAATTAAGGCCAGTCGATCTGGAAAATGTCAAGAACTTTGAATGTATCCTCAAGTTCAGTCGCAAAAAACATCAAACGCTATAACCTTGCGACCTTGCTTTCTTACAGTGCAGACGCTTTTCTGCTTGCTCTTGCTCTTTTTTATGCTGATTTTCCTATTTTTCTTTTCTGAAAACTTCGAGCAGCAGCTCCTGGACATTAACTTATCACTGGGACAGTTATTCTTCGTAAATAGACGGAGGGTTTCAGCCATATTTCAATATGTTTACGACGACTTCAGTGTAGCAACAGTCCTAGCAACAGCTAAAGCCTGGTACTGCATGCTATTTAGCTTAAACGGCACCTATCATGCAAAATGCACTTTTGTACGTCTTTTATACATGAATATGTGTCCCCGGTGTGTCAGGGAACTCACCAAGTGTCAGAAAACACAACCCTCTCTCTTTTCCTCCATACCCAAATCTCTAAAAACGTAAAATCTGATACAGATTTGAAATATCTCTGACGTCAGAAACAAGGAGCTCCACCTATATGGGCAACTCTCCACCTATCAGAGGAATGTGGGGTTGGGCCATGGCCATTGCCGCTCGAAAGCGCTGGAGACGCTGTAGTACATATGCCAGGCCTGTAAGTGGCGCTGTAGTCTGCCACAAAAGCAGCGAAGAAGACTCATGGTTGCCCTTCTGTTTATTCTCCGCTGTGGCTCTTTCTCTCCCTCCCCGAGGCAAGCGTTTGCTGCTGCTGTTATTCAATGCAATCCCTCCCTCGCTGTAATTCTCTCCGGTTAGTCCACCAGCAGATGACAAACACCCACCTCTCCGCCTCTTCCAAGGGACGAGGGGACCGTGCGGCAGAGTTTCAATCAGATTTTTTTTCGCCGGTCAACATGTCCGTTAAAGTTTAAATCTTCTGGACAAAATTAGAAAAGTGCCGGTCTTCTTTGTTATTTATTGAGCTTTAAAACAAATGAATAATGACTCTATATAATCATATAAGAATAAAACACGGAGGACGGAGATCTCTTTTTCTCCTTCTCTTCTGAGAGCCCAGCAGCTGATCTCAAAGCATGCTCCCCTCTCCTGCAGGGGGGCGTGGTCAGCTGCAGCTCATTTGCATTAAAGCTACGTCACAGAATCAGCCCCTGCAAAAACAGGGCTGGAAAGAGCAAATAGAGCGAAATGAGGCATGGCTAAAATGCATGATCTGTTTGGTATTTTGAAAAAAAAAATTCACATACATGTTTTATATAGGTATGGCCCTACAATATATTGTTCAAATATAGCATGATGGGTCCACTTGAAGCTAGTTGGCAGCAAAATACCTCCGTTCTCTACAGATAACTTCCACAAACTTCTACAGAAGATGGCCATGCTGAAAATGAAAATGAGACGGTTGGAAGTTAACATGGAAGTGAATGGACTATGTACAAACTGTGAAGTCCACTGAGACAAATGTAACATTTGTGATATTGGGCTATATAAATAAACATTGATTGATTGATTGATTGATTGATTTACTATGTGGGAATGACACCACTTTACCAGTGTTGCATAAGAATGGAAAAGGGTATGCTAACTCACAGCTAGTTAGCAGCTACAAGGATTCCAAGGAACAGGAGGGCTGTTTACCGGGTAATACATCTACCAGTGGTAGTCCTCCCTGGAAAATCTCTGGGTGCAAGGCCTAAGAGTAAATCATTTCCATGGGATTTGGGAGGACGAATAACAGGCAGAGCCCAGCGCTCTGAAATCTGTGATGCGACCGGCTGGCCTGCATTGTTATCACCCAACGACCCCTGTTCATACTAGGGCTGAAGTCGAATAGTCCATTTAGCTTAGGAACCTTCCTAACGGAGTGAAATGACCCGGAAGTCCCTCAGTGGCAGCCATGATAAGTGCTGTTCCAATTCTCTAAATGAAAGGAAAGGAGGTTTCAAACTTCCTTTATAACCTCCTTTAGCTTAGGAACCACTGGACCTCCCTTACCGAAAGGAGAGGAGAAAATGCTGCCCCACAATGCATTGCAGCCGCAGCATTTGCCGTCACACAACAGTCGGCCGTTCACGGAAACAACCGATTATGACCGAGAAATTATATCATGAAAGTTACGGTAACGTTTATAATACATACATCTGTATTGATTTTAAGATATTTTCATAGTTCATACAATCATACGTATTGGGATCATTTGTATTAACGTGGACCGGAGGGAGAGGGTGACGAGCATGAGTTTCACTTTCCTTTTTTATTTCAATTCCAACTTTGGTCCTGAAGAATCTGTTTCTCTGTTGTCCACGTTCATAAAGCATAAAGCAACAGCATCAGAGCACGGTGCGGAGTCTCAAGATGAGTTTACAGTAGTCCCTCGTTCTTATTGAACATCCATGTTGTAGTCCGCTGTATAGAAAACTGTAGTTTCCATAGTTTCCCCACAGCAGCAGACGCATATTTATGACGTCCGCTGACGCATCATAAACACGTCGGATAGTGAAAGTGCAGTCGGATTCTCTAAAGTACCGCAGTCTCTTCTCCTAAGTCCTTTTGAATTCTCCTATCCACTATCCCTTAACCCCGTGACGTTTCACTCAGAGGTCAAGGAATAGGAGATAGGGTTAGAACTTAGGAGCTGATTTTTGGATTATCCGACCGCAACCTAGGAAAGAGCCGTGGACAGCTGCTAAAGGGAGAATTACAAACAATCCTCCTAAACCACGAGTGTGCCAATCCAGAACAGATACGCTCCACTGACCGAGAACCGGAGATCTCTTTCTGATTACCTGGATAACCTGTCCTCTTCACACAGCAGGGTAAGGACCAATAGCTACTCCAAAAGTAAAAGGCTAGAGGGAAAGCTAACGACTGGGCCTAAAACTCTGATTGTGAGTGACTCTGCTGTAAGAGATGTAAAAGGTCTGTGTAATAAGAACAACACCAAAGTACTCTGTTTTCCCAAGGGTATGGTCTCTGACTTGGCTGAGAAGATCCTGCATATTGGGGCTGAACATCCGACTGTGAAGAATGTGGTTCTGCACATTGGAACAAATGATGTTGTGAAACAAGAGTCAGAAGTGCTGAAAGAATACTTTAAATGTTTGTTGGAAACTGTCAGCTCTCTAAATGCAGAGGTGTTCACTTATAGCCCCTTATAGTTCACACTTATTGTCGTCTTCTCTGTGAACGTTTTTTTCGCTTTTGCCATTTTGAGATTTAAATTTCCAGTGAAAGCTAAACCAGGAAGTGTTTTAGCACACCACGTCACTAGGGTTGGGAACCGAAACTCGGTTCCAGATGAGAACTGATAAGAAAATGCCAGGCGCCGTGGTGACCCGGTGGAATACAGGGTAAAGGCGGACTGGCCATCTGTGTGTTCTGGAAAATCACAGAACGGCCGGTCGTCAGCGGGCCGTTGACGGCAGGCTCGGTACGCTGACGGCCGGCTCGGTTCGCTGACGGCCGGCACCGCCCTTCATTTAAACGGCATCATGTAAATTGCGCTGACAGTCGACAGAGGTCCACAGATGCCCTGCAGCGAGGCTCCCACCGCCCTCCCGTAGACAGTTCACGAGCTCAGTCACTTCATAACACCAAAGATGTAGATGGTAAACGCTCTGAAGTGAGGCTCCACTACACTAAAAAATAAAAAGACAAGGCACAGTGTAATGCCTGTTAATAGCTTGCCACAGGCATAGCTCAGTTAAAATAAAGCACAGCTATTGTGCAATACATTTGTATTGCATGTATATTATTTATTTGTAAAAATATCAGTTAAAGCTTAAAAGAATAAAGATATTTTTGTTATCTAAACGTTTGACCTCTTTCTTTTACAATTTTGGAATCGAAACGGGGAATCGATAAGAACCAGAATCGATAAGCAGAACCGGAATCGATAAGAACCGGAATCGATAAGCAGAACCGGAATCAGAATCTATACATTTCAAACTATACCCATCCCTACACGTGACGCATCTGAACGAATAACGTGTATACCATCCAATGAGATTTCCTTTTTTGGTTTAAGACCCCTTTGTACTTTCACGATTGGTTGCTGATATAAAGGAAATGACCATATTTGGATCTGATGAGATTGTGCAGGAGAGACGGAGCTTTCCAACAATACCTCTGATGACATGGTGCTAACAGCGGTCGCGGTACTTTATGTTACGTTAGAATGCTAACTTTTGGTAAATTTAGGAGAAATCTACAGACGCAAATAGACAAACTATAGTAAAATAAACACCTAAATGTGTAGTTTGTACGTATTTCTTCCAAAAGCCTGAAAGAAAACATGTTATGGAATAAAAATAGATTAAAATCTCAAAATTAACCAGTGCATGAAAAACGATGTTTTTGACTGCCGTGTCTTGCCTTAACGGAAACTTGGATTGAACAAAATAAGAGAGCAGCTGTTCTTATCGAATCAACCCCTCCCAACTTTAGTTTTATGAGTCAGGAAAGAATGCATAAGAAAGGAGGTGGAGTTGCTATTCTGTTCAATGATTCCCTTCAATGCAGGAAGACATCTTATGGGAACTTTGCTTCTTTTGAATATGTGGCCCTTCAGCTGAAATGCTCCTCTCGAGCTCTGTTCCTAAATATCTATAGACCACCCAAATACTGTGCAAGCTTCTTTGATGACTTTACTGAACTGCTCTCTATAGTTTGTATTGACTTTGACCGTCTAGTCATTGTTGGTGATTTTAACATCCATGTTGACAACCCCCAGGACAGAGGGGCTTAAGTACTGTTTTGTGTTCTTGATAACTATGGACTGACTCAGCATGTGACGGAGCCCATGCACAATAAGGGGCACACTCTGGACTTAATTATCTCAAAGGGTCTGAATATCTCTAAGGTTGTGGTGACTGATGTTGCACTCTCTGATCATTCCTGTGTTTTCTTTGAGAGCTCTATTTCTGTCCACAAAAATGTTCAAAAAGAGGTAACCACAAAGCGATATTTAACTGAAAATACTAGGGAAATGTTCATTCAGAATGTTTCTTCCACACTTGCCCCTGCTAACATCTCAGTAAATGAGCTAGTAGATCATTTTAATTCAAAAATAAAAATGTTTATAGATGCATTTGCTCCAACTAAGGTAAAGGAAGTGACTGGGAAGAAAATATCTCCATGGAGAAAGGCCATGACCGTGAGAACAGAAAAAAGAGAGTGTTGACAAGCTGAACCTAGGTGGAGAAAAACAAATCTCCAGGTTCACTTTGAAATCTATAAAGAGAGACTTGGCTTTTATAATTTGGAATTGAAAAACGCACGACAGTCTTTCTTCTCTGACATCATTGCCAAAAACAAAAACAACGCACGTGCCTTGTTTGCTACCGTCGACAGACTAACTAACCCCCCAGTGTCAGTAGCCTCTGAACCTCTATCCACCAGGGCATACAATGATTTTGCCTTCTTCACTGACAAAATTCAGAAAATCAGACAAGCAGTCAGTGCCTCTGCATCAGGAACAGCAAATGTGTTGTCTCTGTGTCCACCTAATATCAATTCAAACACCATGACACAGTTCCATCAGATTAATGATAAAAACCTAGAGGACATTATTCAACTTCTGAAATCCTCCTCTTGCTGCCTTGATATTATTCCAACAGGATTTTTCAAAGATGTTTTTCGTTGCATGGCCTCAGATCTACTTCATATAGTAAACACATCTCTTCACTCAGGTGTTTTTCCACAGGCCCTGAAAACTGCAGTCATTAAACCGCTCTTAAAAAAGAATAATCTAGATGCTTCAGTAATGAACAATTACAGGCCCATATCAAACCTCCCATTTCTAGGTAAAATCATTGAAAAAGTTGTTTTTCAACAGTTGAGTAATTTCTTGCATTTAAATAACTGTTTCGATGTGTTCCAGTCAGGCTTTCGTCCAAACCACCGCACTGAGACTGCTCTTGTAAAGGTCTTTAATGACATCCACTTAAACACAGACAGTGGCAGAACTTCAGTGTTAGTATTATTAGATCTCAGTGCTGCGTTTGACACTGTTGACCACAACATATTACTAGACCGACTGGAACACTGGGTGGGACTTTCGGGAACAGTTCTAAATTGGTTTGAATCCTACTTAAAGGACAGAAACAACTTTATAGGTAAATACACATCTGAGTTGACAAATATGACATGTGGGGTTCCTCAAGGCTCCATCTTGGGGCCTCTTATCTTTAACGTCTGAAGAGTGGATGTTATAAGATTTAAGACCAATACAAGACATTCACTAAGACGCTACACTTTTATTGTGAAAACAAAGATCTGCACACCGAACAGTTTTGTAGTCTAACCAGATCATCATTTGTTTGTGACGTTGGACCTCAGAGCAGGTCTGGTTATTGCCCATAATAAAGAGAGTTAGTAAAGAGGGAACAGACCTGCTCTGTGGATCTGAAGCTGAGGCTGTAACACGGCGTCCAGTAGTTTCCGGTGTCTCTCGTTCTCCTGTTTTGAACGAGACAGTTCCTCCTCGTACTCTGCTATCGTTCTTTCAAACAGAACAAAGATGTCTTCAGCAGCCGCAGTGAGTCGCTGCTTCACCAACGAGAGCAGCACAACACTCATGTTTACTAAATCACCACTTCCTGTTAAACACACTGTTTCTCTCTGAAGCTTCAGTCTCTGTTCAACACACTGTTTCTCTGAAGCTTCAGTCTCTGTTAAACACACTGTTTCTCTCTGAAGCTTCAGTCTCTGTTGAACACACTGTTTCTCTCTGAAGCTTCAGTCTCTGTTGAACACACTGTTTCTCTGAAGCTTCAGTCTCTGTTGAACACACTGTTTCTCTGAAGCTTCAGTCTCTGTTGAACACACTGTTTCTCTCTGAAGCTTCAGTCTCTGTTGAACACACTGTTTCTCTGAAGCTTCAGTCTCTGTTGAACACAGTGTTTCTCTGAAGCTTCAGACTCTGTTAAACACACTGTTTCTCTCTGAAGCTTCAGTCTCTGTTGAACACACTGTTTCTCTCTGAAGCTTCAGTCTCTGTTGAACACACTGTTTCTCTGAAGCTTCAGTCTCTGTTGAACACACTGTTTCTCTGAAGCTTCAGTCTCTGTTGAACACACTGTTTCTCTGAAGCTTCAGTCTCTGTTAAACACACTGTTTCTCTCTGAAGCTTCAGTCTCTGTTGAACACAGTGTTTCTCTGAAGCTTCAGTCTCTGTTGAACACACTGTTTCTCTCTGAAGCTTCAGTCTCTGTTCAACACACTGTTTCTCTCTGAAGCTTCAGTCTCTGTTCAACACACTGTTTCTCTCTGAAGCTTCAGTCTCTGTTAAACACACTGTTTCTCTCTGAAGCTTCAGTCTCTGTTCAACACACTGTTTCTCTCTGAAGCTTCAGTCTCTGTTCAACACACTGTTTCTCTCTGAAGCTTCAGTCTCTGTTAAACACACTGTTTCTCTCTGAAGCTTCAGTCTCTGTTCAACACACTGTTTCTCTCTGAAGCTTCAGTCTCTGTTCAACACACTGTTTCTCTCTGAAGCTTCAGTCTCTGTTAAACACACTGTTTCTCTGAAGCTTCAGTCTCTGTTCAACACACTGTTTCTCTCTGAAGCTTCAGTCTCTGTTCAACACACTGTTTCTCTCTGAAGCTTCAGTCTCTGTTAAACACACTGTTTCTCTCTGAAGCTTCAGTCTCTGTTAAACACACTGTTTCTCTCTGAAGCTTCCTGAGCTGCTGTTCAGCTGGACAGCAGGAAGCAGAGGTTTGGGAGGATGATGTCCCTGATGCCGTTGTGATTTTTCCAGCACCACGGGGGTCCTGTGTGGATGGCAGCTCCTTCCTCAGCAGATCCAGTTCTCCAGAATTGTTCTAATAAAAGAGAAAACAAGAGAAAAATAACTAAATGTATTAATATCTTATAAACAAATGATGATTGCAAAATGATGACCATGACCATCCCTAAAGGATTATTTAAAATTCCGTACTGTTTTGGTTTTTTAAATGTCTATATCTATACAAAACATGTCTCTGACGTGTTTGTTCAAAATACCAAACAGACCACCCTTTGTAGCCATGCCTCATACATTAGTTACACTGTAAAAACATTGTATTTCATAATGACAGGAAATCATATTAAAATGACAAGAATAAACGGTTTATTGAAATGTGTCATTTATATGATGATCTCCGCCAGCGGCGCCGGATTCATTTCAGAAGTGGGGGGGCCAAAAAAGTGCGCGTGTATGTGACATACTTGCCAACCCTCCCGATTTTCGGGGTCATATTTCTCCCGATTTCTGACTCAATCTGATTTGTGAGTCACAACCTGTTTCATTCTAACATAACGCTCCAAATGTTACTGTTTCCACTCAGACTTCAATACAGCTACACCATTGTTTGGTTTCCATGGTAACGCGTCTCTTTAGTAGCGCGCGCAACTGAAAGTCTGAGAGGGTGTTCACCATGGGGAGGAAGATAGCCACAGAAAACAGAACAAGAATGGACAACTCAACCCTCTGCTCACTCCTTTCCTGTAAATTAAACTATACAGACCAGCCCACACATATGGCAGCGAAGTTCCTCCATCATTCCATCTCTTCTTTTTTCCTGCTACGCTCTTGTTTGACAAGCTGAATGTTGACTGGTAAGCGCACTTTTTTTGAACACACTCTCTGTAAAAAGTTCCAGTTATTAACTCGGTATTTACAAAGCTGTCATCTCCACATTTGGAGAAAGTTACAAGCCGTTTGACAGCATCACATCTGCATATTTCACAGAAGGCTCGTTTAGTGGTTTTGCAAAGATTTAACCACTCTCTGTTTTTGTAGCATTCTGCATTGAAGTACCTTTCTCTTTGCCCAAATAAGCTTTTATTTTCCCGTCTCAATGTCCCGACAACAAACCTCCATGCAGTCGGAACCAGCCTGTTTCGGTTCAACATTGCCGGCGGTTTTGACAGTCTCAGCGGTCGCAGAGCTGCTGCTGGGGTTCATCTGGCTGCGCTGGTTCTATGGTTGAAGGACCAGGCTCCGGAGTTGTGTATGTCAGGGATGTGACATTCAAGTTGTTGAATTTCAGCTTAGTTTGACTGTATATTGTTTTCTTATGCGCCGGTTCTTCTGACATGTTTGCAAGTTTATCTATCTAGGTTAACGGCTGACACACACAGAACAACGTAACAAATAATGTAAACAACGTAACAAATAAACACATCTAAGCTTTGTTATTGGTTGTAATGTACATGGATACATTTGAATGGTGTGACAATGTCCTATTTGATTGGATTCAAATGTACATATTCTTCCTGTTATGTCTGCCTGCTTTATTTTACCTAATGCAAAGTGACCTGCTCCATCAAAATCAGTTGCACATTTTGAGTTGTATACACTGTTGGAAAGAGGAGATTCCTAGCTTTCTAATGATATCAGGATTGTTTTTGTACTCCAAATATTAAGCAAATATGTCACATTATATAATGACTGTCACCGAGTCATCATTTTGAGAACAAGGCCTTTAAAGTTTCCTCTTCTCTGGAATCCATCGATCTGATTGATTATTAGCGGAGCAAATGATCAAAGTAGTAACGGAGGGAAAATATTTTCGTTTGGATTACTGGTCTGGGGGAAGCTCGCGAGTGTTGGTGTGTGTATATACGTGTGTGTGTTTGTGTATTTTTGCGTATTGTGTTTGTTTCCCGGGGAAAACACTCAGGAGAAACCCCGGCTGTTGTTGTGCCTGCTGTCACGTTAAGTTACTCCGTTCTCCGCTTGTAATTATGCCGAAGCTTCAAAGTTGTATTTATCATCTGAATTTGCCGAAACAAGTTTAATATTCTGAAAGCCAAGGCTTTGTTTATTTGAAATCAGATGAAAACAAACTGTAACGGACCCTGCCGTGTTATCTATGATTACTATACGCTTACATTCATAATTTCAGCCGGAGGGAGGGGGGGCGGCGCTGCGGAAGAGCAAAGTGACGAGTGAGAGCTGTTATCTTCCCTTTACAAGCTTCAAACATGCCTGTAGCTAATGAGATTGAATATAACAATCAAAAATAACAAAGTATACACAGCTAGATCAGATTGCGTTATTTTTAGATGCGACTTTAGAGTAGAGGGGAATTATTGAAACGGGATGTGTAGTGTTCCGCGGCATCCGCTGCTGCGAAAATGTGGGGCAGGGCTGAAAAGTGGGGGGGCCAGGGGGGCAACGGCCAGGGTGACCTTGTTAATTCTAATCTGTTTCTGGTGTTGTGCATTTGGGTCCTGAGCCTCGTGACATTCTTAACAGTACGAACTGACCAAAGAATGGACCCAGCCGACCCAGACAGGTTCAGAGCAGCTCTGCGCTCACAAGGCACGCTTTTGTCTCAGCATGACGATCAGCTGAAATCAATTGACCAGGGAGTGAGAGAATTGAGTGGTCGTCAAGAAAGCTTCCAAACATCTGTGAACAGCCAAGTAAACCACCTGGCAGAATCAGCTTGTTCGTGTCCTTGCCCACCTGGAAGCTGGATCTCAAACTGTTTCCGCGGCTGCACCCCTGCCTGAGGCTGTGATCCAAGGACCTACTTCTTCTTCATGCTCTCGTCTCGCATCTCCAGAGAAATTCTCCGGTGACTCAGGTGACTGTCGTCCTTTTTTAGTCCAATGCGACCTGCATTATCAACATCAGCCTTCTGCTTTTCCAACAGACCAGTCTAGAATAGCTTTCATGATAACACACTTGACTGGTAGAGCAGCAGCGTGGGCTACAGCAGAATGGGCTAGAGACTCTCCCCTTTGCAGATCACTCGGACTGTTTACTGATTCCCTTAAAAAGATTTTTGATCGTACAGCGCCAGGGAGAGAAGCGGCTAAAGCTCTAGTTCAACTCAAGCAAAGAAATCAAAGAGTGTCTGATTATGCCATAGAGTTTAGGACAATAGCAGCAGACAGTGGCTGGAATGATCTGGCCTTGCTGGACGCCTTTGTAAATGGACTTTCAGGCCTTGTCAAAGATCACTTAGTCCCATTAGATCTTCCAGAAGATTTAGACTCTGTGATTGCTCTGGCTATACGAATAGATAATAGGCTCTGGGATAGACAAAAAGAAAGAGAACATCCTGCAGTTCGTTCACCAAGCTCCAGGGGGCCTCCTCGTGGCATCCGGATGAGGGAGGATTCGTTTCCAGGGGTCTGGATCAAGCCTCCTTTGACAACGCCATCCACCACATCAGAGGAACCCATGCAACTTGGCCGAGCAAGACTTTCACTGGAGGAGCGGGAACGGCGCCTCCGCCAGGGCCTGTGTTTCTACTGCGGGCATCGTGGACACCTGATGGCCGCTTGCTCACTAAAAGACGGGGCTCCCCAGGCAAGAGGAGGGCGCTGGTGAGCCGACTAACTTCTGACTACTCTCCTCGTACGCTGACTCCTATCCAAGTAAAATTAGGTAAGAAAACCTTAACACAGAATGTTCTCATTGATTCAGGAGCAGACGAAAGTTTTATGGACTGGAATTTTGCCAAAAGCTTGAACATTGTCACCATGCCCTTAGCTCAACCTTTAAATGCCAGTGCCCTTGATGGAAGATTATTGTTTCAAGTCACTCACCACACAGAACCCGTCCAGGTTATCATAAATCACAACCACACAGAATTCATGACATTCCATTTATTCGACTCCTCACAACACCCTATGATTTTAGGCTTCCCATGGTTGAAAAGACATAACCCTCACATTGACTGGCGTTCTGGTAGGGTGAAGGGTTGGGGAAGAGAATGTAATCATACATGTTTGGTTTCACCAGGAGAAGTTGAAGGGCTGTCTGTAGGAAGGGTTACTTCAGGTAGTGAGG